TGCATTATGAAATTAAAAATATGACAAAGGAGAGCACAAACTGGTGAGCAGCTGAAATCCTATATCAAGCAAGAAGGGGAAAACATTTCACTTTCAAAACTACAGCAGTGTCTCCTCAGCTCCCAAACGCTTACAGAGTGTTGTTAAAAGAGGATGAAACACAGTGGTAAACATGCCCCCGTCCCAACTTTTTTGAAACGTGTTGCTTGCATCAAATTTATAATGGGCATTTATTTCTCAAAACCAATAGAATTTCTCACATTCGATATTTGATATGTTGTCTTTGTACTATTCTCAATTATAGTGTTTAATTGATTTGCATATCATTGCGTTCTGTTTTTATTTACATTTTGCACAGTGTCCCAACTTTCTTGCAAACGGGGTTGTACCTCTGTAGCTGTTGAAATCCATGGCTGTCCACCACGTCTTTCTGACTGATTTCCTCTCACTGCCGTGCATCAAACTTTCTCTCTGAGAACAGGATGGAATATTTGCTTGTCTTATCGCTTGTGGATGTTTACTTTTGATATTGTTTATTGCTGCTGTTGTCCTCATTGTTCATTGTTGTGTGGTCCCAAACACCACTATTTTTATCCGCACGCTTCATTCTTAGTAAACCTGTCTAGAAGAATCAATCGCCTGTTGCACCACCCCAGTTCAAAAATGTTCCTCAACTTGAAGCTGTTGTTTACTGGAAATCAAAATAAAATCCCAAGGGATCCCAAGTCCCAAGAAACGCACTGTAAAATATTACAAATGCTTGAATGATACTGAAGTTGACTGTTATATTAAACATCCAGCAGAGTTTAAATGGAAAAAATACAAGATGGAAATATAATAAAACATGGCCTAAAAACCTTTGATCTGACCTATCTGAGAACTGATAGCCTGAGCATGGTCCTAATATTATGATGAGTGTGCATGACACAACAGCCCTCAGTCCAAGAGGCTTAGCCTGCAACTCTGCTAAAGCAGAAAAGATAAAAAAGGTAAAGTTCTTGTTTACTTTACTGCTGGATGTGCATCAAGGGAGATACCAGCATGGCCATTTCAACAAACGGAGTAATGAACGAATGGATGAACAAACAGATGGACAGACGAATAAATAACCCGACAACAGGCAGACAGACAGATGAGCTAGCTTGTTATGTCATGCTTGCTAGGTTAGCTTTTTCTCATCGTTAGCTGTCTCTCGGTAAGTTTCTCTGACTCTAACAGAGGGAAGGAGACCGTAGGGGAAGACAGTTCTGTTAAAGCTGTGTGCAGGAAAAAACACATCAGCCTTGTGATTGGAGAGGATACTGCTTACATATGCGTGATGCACAATTAGGCCCGCCCACTTTACATCAAAAGAGTAATTATGAAATACAGCCTCAGTTTTCATGCACTTTGAAAAGTTATTCACAGGTCATACTTTGTACATGTACAGTTGTATGGAAATGAACATGCCCTGGTCAAATTACATTGTTTTGTTGGCTTTCTACATGAAAACAGGTTAACACATCCTCTACAGGCATAAAATGTGGCATGTTCTGCTAATTTTATACATTTTTACTTCAATTTCTATTTATTGGAAAAAATTAAACATACAGCATAAAATTTTCCATAACTTTTACACAGGCCACACTGAGTTTATTTGTTTTTTTTTCCAATATGTTCAATTCAGCAAATGAAAAACAGTGAGTGTGTTTACATGCACTCAGCAGTCCGATCACAGTCGGATTTCTGCGGTTATCTGATTATTCAAATGGTCATGTAAACAGCATGCTCTGATAAAGAGAGCTGGATTTTCAGTAATCAGATTTCTCAGTGCATGTAAACTCTTACTCTGATTTCTTTCTGCTTTCTCAGTCTGCACATGTTTGTAAACAGACTGCGGTACTGGAAATAAGTGAGCAGCGTCGCCACAAGAAGCAGCAAAACACTTTTGGAGCGACACTGAAATCAAATACATGCTTGACCAAAAGAATTGAAATATTCTTCATCTTCTAGATGATATATGTTCATATTTTTTAGGTAAAGTGCACAATGTTTTTTTTTAAAAAGCCACAGCATGAAGTTTGAGTTTAACATTACGCCACGTCTTCTGCTGTGAGTTTATTGGCCAGTCGCAAAGCAGAAATCTGATTAATGTCTGACACATGTAAACCTGGAGTTTCCCCATTATCTGACTACTGAAGTGCATGTAAACGTGTTTATCAGATTACTGACAAAATCTGATTTTCAGCAGTTGTTGGATTATTAAGTGCATGTAAACATACTCATGTGCTGAAGTGTGTTCTCTGTAGGACATGTCTTAACTTATTTTCACTTAGAAAATCTGTGGAATTTGAGTGGGGTGCCTAAACATTTGCATGTGACTTTATGTTTTGGTCTCAAGATTAACCTGCATGGATTTACGATCTGTAACCTTTGTCAACCAATTTTTAACCATTAGTCACACAGTCATTTAGTGTTTAACCCCTTAAACGGTCAGGACCCTACACACTTACAGAACCTAAGAATAACTCAGCCAGTTTGCATTAAAGTCCCTGTAGTTACTGAGTAATAAGCCTTAGTATGTAATAATCCTGGAACTTTAATAATCCTGGGGTTAACAGCTAATCGGTCAATCATTTACATTCCTAATATGGATATATTGTACTCCCCTGATACTGTTTTCTAGTCAAATTTACTAGTTTGCTGTTACACAGTTAAACAGGGAGTACATTATATACACTGAATGTTTCACTCTCTCAGAGAAAAAGTCGCTAATTATCAGCTTATTATCAGTGATGTTTTTGCAGATACTGATAAAACCATGGTTTGACAACATCTGCAGATACAACCAGGCAGCTGATATATCGGTTGGGCTTCCCTTTGTTTATTTCTATCTCAGTAGATGCTGTCAAGGCAGCAAAGTCTGAGATGATCAATAGTGACATGCTACATACAGCAGAGCTGTGTTGCATGCTTTACCCTACTTATCTGTACAAGTCCTGGTCAAACAACCCTTGACAAGACATCAGGAGAAGCTCTTTGGGGCAAATCGTTGTGAAATGCCCTGTGAGGGAAAATAATTGCAATGACATCACACAAAGTCCTCTAAACCTTCAGGCTACTACTTTCGTTTGATATTAAAATGATAATAAGGCCAAACTGAAGGGAGGATCATGCATTTATCCAGCTTTAACAAAGCAGGCTGGTGAAAAGTGTGTTCTGGCACTGTATGGACATACAGTTATCTATAAAAATGGACTACAGTATGGACAAAATTCAGCCTGTAAGGTTCCTACAGTTATTGTTTTTAGCTATGCAACATACGTTTGTCCATGTTTATGTAAAATATGCTTGGGGTGGAAAATTACTATTACTATACACACTTAAAAGATGGTTCTTCAGGGGTTCTTGAGTAAAGGCAGTAGCTTTATTTAGAACCATGAGTTCTATATAGAACCAGTTCATGCTTAAATTGTTCTTTGCATGGTGAAGTGGTTCATCAGTCTGATGGAGAATGTGTTGTATATGGTTCTACGTAGGGTTTTTTTGAAAATGGTTCTATATAACACCAGAAATGTTCTGATATTGTTATAATGTCAAGCTTGTAACAATAGTATAACCGTTTTTGGTGCTATATAGAACCATGAAGAAAGTAGAGATACATTTCACTTATTGGAAAGTCATGTCCACTCTACGGCCATCTTGACACCACACCCAGGCAGTTATGTCCAGTCATATAAGACTAGGCTGCTCTCTCTTTGAATGAGAACAGATCTACACACGCTTAACTGAGAGCTACAGTAACATTTCAAAAACATATGCATAAATTGTAGTGTTTTCCTCAAATAATGCACAGAAAACAGCTTGTTTTCACTTTGTTCTGGATAATATGTATGTTAGTGATGGGCATTCTGGCTCTTTTCAGTAATTCAGATCATTTGGGTCAGCTCGCATAGAAGATCTGGCTCTTTTGGCTCCAAAATGGCTCTTCATTTGGTAGCAGTGTTTCCCTCCAAAATTAGCCAAGTTAGCAATATTATATATATTTTATTTTCAGTAATTAGTCTACCTTCCAAGGAACTAATGAACAAAAATAGCACGTTTGTTATTAAAAAAAACAAAAAACACTATATCGATAAATAGTTTCACTGGGTGAATTTTGAGAGGCAGGAATAATAGGATGGGCAGACCAGCTAAATGCAGGCAAATCCATCGACCGATCATAAACAAACAAGGTCAGCTCAAAAATCAAATACAAGAAAAAGTCAAAAATCAGAAGAAATAACAAGACATGCTTGGAAAAACAGCAAAGTATTACACAAAAAAGCCACTGAACCAAATTAATACAACAACCAATAGGTGTTGGGGGTAATGAGGGGACAAAGTTGGAATGCTCCAAGCCAGAGATCCAAGAGGGGGTCCTGTGACAAACCAAGAGAATAATGATGAATTTTCAGCTACACTGTCATAAAATCTGCCCATTTGTTTTGTCTTAATTTACAAAAGAATCAGCCACTTGATGCGAGTCGTCTCCCAGCATTCAACTGTGAACTTCACACTGATGCTGTCTCCTCCTCCTTTATAAAAAATCTAGGCGAACCTAAATCTGCAAATTTGCAAACCTCAGAAGTGTGAGGTCTGTTCTTTCTGAAGAAATAATAAAAAAGCAGCTCCTCAGTCAACATAATGTTGCTTCTCATTCACATTTGCAAAAAACCAACTAGCTAATGTTAGCTAGCTAATGTTTGCTTTTCACTGAATTATTAATTCCCTCCTAAACCACATCACATCATGACCGCTCATTATAATATGGTTTTTAGTCCATGCTGGCAATAAAAATAGCGAGGCAACGGTCCAGTGCGACTGCAGCTTGAGGCATTCGGTTTGCTCAGTGCTAACTATCAGGATAATAGCGTCTATTACTTGTGAGAAGCATAACAACATTAGTGTTTAGGGGAACACTGGGAAAATTTGATTGTTTTGATGAACGTATCTTTTAAATTATTTCTCTCTCTCCTCAGATCAACTTTATTCTGTTTATCAGCATCATTCGGATCTTGGTGCAGAAGCTCAGGTGTCCTGATGTAGGAGGGAATGACCAGTCTCAATACAGGTAGAGTACTGAAGATGCACACAGTCAGTAGCATCTCTACATTAGGGGCTTGGCCCCACCAGATGTCGCTGTGGAACAGTGCATGACGTGATCAATAATTAAGTATAACAACTAATATATATATTTTTTTTTCTTCGTAACTAACATTGTTGTGCGTTTAATACATATGACTATGATAGGGCTGTCCAATACATTCCAGATACCTTCCTGTACCTGTTGTGTAAATGCCAGTAGGCAACCTATTTCTCCTAGCAGTCTTCGTTTGGAGAGCGTGGGGCCCGTTAGTGTTCGTCTAACCAAGTGAGCAGTTAAAAAACACTCTGCACATGTTCAACATGTTTTCAGTTACCAGCTGTGGGGCCTGATCACGTTGGCCCCGTGCTGAGAGCAGCCAATAGAAAAAAATGAATTTATATACGTCCAGACATTTAGTAACGTAGTTCACGGTACGGGCGTTGCTACTCAGCTAGCCATTGTTTCTCGTCAGTTGTGGTAGCCACTCATAACAGCAAGGCAACATAATGAGTCAAGATGAAAATGTAATAATAGTAAAATTTGGTTCCCTGCCTTTAGAGCAGAAATTAGAGATTAAACCTTTGGGACACACCAGCCAGAGGATTTCAATATCATTTAGTCTGGAAAAGACAAAAACTGCTCCTTCAGTCCTGAGAGGTTCAAGAGAAAAACATGGCTAACTGTGAGTGTAGCTAAAAACACTCTCCTGCTTTTCTTGTCTACCCTTGCTGTGCTATCACTTAAATTGATTCATGGATTGGTGGACTTTCAGAGAAAAGTTTTTGACAAGTTTGCCCAGATGAAAGATTGTTGTGCATCTTGTCTTTTCAAACAGTGACCGTCAATGACGAGTCATTCTGCATTATTACAAGGCGTGTTATTCCTAATGCCCGGAAAGCGTGTTTCCCTGCTCTCATATTTTGCTTTGGATGTGTAGTTGCTGACCACAGTGATCGTTTACTGATAGATAACTTTGGATTTGTAATGTGATGCTGCTTAACAAGGTTTTATGAGATCTAACGTCGTTATCATCACTCATGTTCTCCGCTTCCATTCCTGCGTTACGTTCATTTGTGACTTAGTGATTTCATTGATGGAGTGTGTTTGTGCTTGGATCAGGTTTGTGCGTAGCTTCAGTGACGAGTCGGCTGCTGCCCCCACAGTTTATTGTGCCCCACCAGGCTTTCTGTGCCAGAGACGCCACTGCGCATAGTTATTTCTCTCGCTCTCTCTCTCTCTTCACACAAACGCACATAGAAACGTCCTTAGCTGTCCCCACATTTTTTCTCCAACAGTTATGCTGTCCTGCTCTGACAGGTGAACGGAGATTGCTGGACCATGTTTCATCAGACTTTTCCATTTTCCGTCGTAAATTACTGAATGTGTTTGAGTTTCTGGCTGCTGAAATATTTATTTGTGTATTCGTGCCCCTCTGAGCAATCGCCCTGACTGTCACTAATGCATGAGGAGTAGTGTTGCTCTTCCTTGGCATTCTTCAGGAATACTGTTTTTCCATTTTTCCATAATCGGAATTTCATTCCTTGCGAGAAATGTGATTGTAAGTGCAAAACTGTGAGCGCTTCAGTGAGAAACACTGCTGTTGGTTTTTCGGTTTGTTTGCACAATAGGTGAAGACTCCCCCCCGAGTTTTCTTATTGAATCCCCATTTCTCTCTTTCCGTCTTGTTGCAGGAGGCTGGCGAAGTCGACGCTGTTGTTGATCCCACTTTTTGGGGTTAACTACATTGTGTTTGTGTACATGAGAGAGGAGAGTGAAAGCGACACGTTTCAAAGCTACAAAATATTCTTTGACCTCTGCCTCGGCTCGTTCCAGGTACGACGATTGAATGCGCCATTCAGGATTGCTGGTTATAGCTTTCATTTCGTTTCCTGAAGTCTGTGTCTCGATGCTCTTTTCACAGGGATTGGTTGTTGCCATTTTGTACTGCTTTCTGAACAGTGAGGTGAGTATCGCTTTCTGAAAAGTCTCCCAGGAGCAAAACTGAAGTCTATATTTGATGGAACAATTTATCCAACATTTTTATTCACATATACAAAAATTTGGGGACCCTTATACTTCCTTGAAAATGTTGCAAGTAAAGGTAAATTTACTTCTTACTTGTCAATCAAGTAGAAAAATTACTAGAAGAACTAATACTTCAACACTTTAAGTTCATTAAAGGGTCATATGAACACTCTCAGTGGTTCTTCAAGGGTTCTTTAGTTGAGAAAATAGATCTATATAGAACCATGAACACTCAAAGAACCCTTTGCATGATTAAAGGGTCCTTTGCATCCTTTGGTTTCTCAGACTGATGGAGAGTATGCTTTAGATGGTTCTATATAGAACCTTTTTGAAAAGCATTCTATATAGCACCCAAAAGGGTTCTTCTAGTGTTACAAGCTTGACACTGTAACAATTGAAGAGCCCTTTTAGGTGCTGCATAGACCCACTTATAGCACATTCATGCATATTTTCCATCAATCTGAGAATGCTTTAATGATGCAAAGAAGCCTTTAAGCATGCAAATGGTTCTTTGAGTGTTCATGGTTCTATACAGAACCACTTTCCTTACTAAAGAACCTTTGAGGAAACATCTTTTTTTAAGAGTGAAGACTAGGTTTAAATTTACATAATGTTCCTGACCTGGTTTGGTCTTTAAAGTTTGCTTCTTTAGCATTGAACTGGAGTTCCATGGCTAAAACAGCCGTGTGCAAAACTTTAAACTTACTTGTTTTACATGTTTTGCTGACTTTCTGTGTTAATATAAGAACACTTCCCCTACATGGAACTTAAATATGGCATTTTTCTGCTAATTTTAGTGCAGTTTCTGTTTATTTGCCAAACTTAGCACATTGGAAAATAAGTAAAACATACTGCTTGTTAGGGGTGCAATGATTATTCGACTTAATCGACTAAAATCAACGACCAAATTAGTTGGTGACGTCATTATGCGTCTTTTTCGTGCTCGCTAGGAATATTTCGACATTACCGCTTACTGGCGAGTTAACAACAGCGCAGTGTCAGCCCTGAGACCAAAATCCTCAAAAGTGTGGGAGCATTTCACGCTAAATTCAGAAAAAAAAGGTTGTCAGTTGTGCTATTTGTATTATATGCTGACACGGGAGCACATCCTCCATGTTGGAGTATCTGAAGAGGAAACATGTCGGCTCGGTTAGGCAGTTGTGCTAGCTATCTGGCTAGCTAACACTAATGTTAAAAGCTGTATGAGCTTTAACATCTATTTTAAAATGCGTGTTCTCTTGAATTGTTAATGGAGAAGCATGTAACTATTATTCTCAGCGACCCTGTTCACTTTCCAAGTAATGTTTACAGTTTTAAACACTGCACCGTTGTCTTAACGTCGAGGCCACAGGTGCGTTCAAATTCGGCGAACTTAGAGAATGTTTACAAACGGTTTTCCTCAGTTTCAGGAGGGAGTTCTACATGAACATACAGGAGAGCCGGACGAAGGGTTACCGCTGAAATGAAATGTTTACACAAAGTCGTTCAAATCTAACTGTTCATAGAGAAGTTTGCCACAAACGTTCGCCACTTTCCCATCCGCTCCATCAGAGCCTACCTTCTCTGCAGCGGTGAAAAGCGAGCCTCTCACAAGAGCACGCAGAGACGCTGACTTTCCTCCGTTTCAATAAAGACCTGTGATTGTAGAATTTAGTTGCAGCTGAGTGTAGACAGACAGCAGAATGCACAGAGCACAGACTGCACTGTTTACAGTTCAAATTTGTTTATTTACATGATTAAAGGAAAACTGATTTAGTTTTGTTATATTTTATTGCTGCTACTTTGCACGTCCTTGATTTTGAATTCTGACAGGAAAAATCTTTTGTATTATTCGTTTTATTTATCTTTTGTATTAGCAGGAAAGTTCATTAAAGCAGTGAATTTTTGCCTAAGTTAATCATCTTTATTGTCTTCACTGTACGTTAGCAAATGCATAAAACAACCTCAAGCTAAATTTAAAAGCTGACAGCTGCATAAGAGTTAGTTGGTAATGTTGTGACTCTGAATAATCGATTATTTGTTTTTAATAACCAATATATTATTCGAATAGCAAAGCCCTACTGCTCGTCAAAAAACTTTTGACGGTCATTATCTGGACCTTTCCAGCATCCCGACGCTGAGCGTCATGAATGTGTGTGCACCGCAGGTCCAGACTGAGCTGAAGAGGAAGTGGCGGAGTGTGTGTCTGAAGCGTTACATTGGCCGAGACTACCGACTGCACAGCTCGTCCATTTCCAGAAACGGCACAGACAACGTGGCGCAGTTCCATCGCAACTCCCGAGCCCAGTCCTTCCTCCAGACGGAGACCACCGTAATGTGAGGCCGTTTTCACTCACAAGCACACACAAACTCTGTTCTTTTGGAGCAGCTGTACAGGAAATGCCATAAACAAGGGTCCACTGCATTGCCCTGTAGTTTTCTTAACCCATCTACAAATAAGTTTTGCAAATATTTGTCGAACTTCTTGCTTTTTGCTATGCTGAAGAGGCTGGGACTTACCGTTTTACCAGCAGGACACGATTAGTAATGCCAAATGCTGTTGTGAGTGTGTTTTTGTACCACATTTCAGTGTATAGTGGACCAGCAGGTGTTTTAAGTGATAGAATGTCAGTACAGATGCTTTGGTGAGTGTAAGAGGACAAGATTACATCAGCTTTGATGTATCACACATTCAGTTTTACATTTACACTGTTTGCAGATAAGTTATTCCAGCTCTTACGACTTGTTTGTTCCCCCACATGTAAACATAGAAGGATACAAATGTTTCATTTCCAAACATTTCTTTATCAGTCCAGCACTTGTATTATACCGGACCCGGCTTCGAGCACAGTACTTATGACCTTGTAAATATTTCTCGACTCCTGGCTGTTTTTATGGATGGTCAGAGAGTCGGACACAGAAGACAGGCTTGACGCCAGCCTCGTGGAAGCATTAGGCACAGCGTTGTCCATGCTGTGTAGAGAACTAGCACAAGGCTGGGGATGAAAAGCCCTGGAACGTCTGCAGCGATGCTTCAGGGCTAAAGACAGAGCAGAAGCTTTGGTTCTCCACCACGGAGAGCTCATTAGGAACCCATTACCGCCAGAGGTGTTCGCATCAGCTCTGTTACAGACGAGGCCTTACGTTCCAAAGGGTGATTCCATGACGACGGTGCATTTCTTGCATGAGGGGACACCGTGTTAACTCCGCTCAAGTGGAGACGTGGAAGAAGCACAAAACCAAAGAGCCAAACGTACGCAGGGAACAGAATCCTACTGATGAAGAAGGACTGGAGAGACAGTATGAGTGGTAATACAATAACAACTGGTTGGCAGTACTTGGATTAAGTCTGGTCTTGGACTAAATTGCAATGGCAGTGGTGTAGACATGTGCCAGTAGTCTGTAAATCGGTGCACCGCGATATTTTGTACGCACGGTAACATTATTGTGGACGCTTCAAAATACCGTCACTGGATTTTAGTCAAACAAGTCCCACCACAAAAACTTTTGAAATGCAGGTCAGCTCTCCTTTCACAAGAATGGAGACACTGTTCTGCTCTGATCACATGATACAGTCGTATGCAAAAGTGAAAATGAGTTAATAAATCCTCTACAGTGAGCAAGCTTTAAAAAATTCGGCAAATTTTACTGCACAATTTCTACAATTTCCATTTATAGTGAAAAAAACCATAGCATATCAAATGTGCCATAATTTTTGCACAGGCCACATTACGTTTTATGTATTGATATTTTATTTTTTTCTTTCCAGTTTGTTCAATTTAGCAAATAAAGAGCATTAAAATGTGTTCTCTGTGGAGGATATGGGCTTATTTTTACTCAGAAAATCAACGCCGTGTCGTTTGACTAGTCCAGGCTTTTGTGCACAACTGTACATTCTCTCTTCTGAGCAAATCAGTGGTGCAGATAAGCATCCACAGCACAGCAAGGTGAGGAGAGGTCCCAGAACTTTTCCACCATGAAAAGAAGTGAAAACTCATGTCCCACCCGGCTTGGAGGAGGAAAAAACTGAAGATCTCATGAGCGCATGTGTATATGAAGTAAAAGGCACAAAATTTTACTGGAAGTCGGGTGCACTACATTCAGAACTCAAGCCTCAAGCCAGAAAAGGTCAATATGCTGGTCTTCTTGGCAAAAAAAGGCCTGAACCTAAATATGTTGAAAATAATCACAATTTAAATTGCAATCGCAATATTAGTCCGAAAACTTGCAATTAGATATTTTCCCAAATTGTTCAGCCCTAAACCAGATATTTAATTTTTTCACTGATGGAAAATTCTACCAACAGCAGCTTCTGTCAGCAGACAGTGAAACGAGTTCAGATTTCACCTTTTGCCATTGACCATGGCGATTGAATAAACCAGATGTTATGTTTTTTAATAAAAGATATACAGATTGAGAGACCCTTATTAGTCGCACAACAGGAAATTTCACTTCTGCATTTTTCCCCATCTGTGCAGTGAAACACCACATACACACTAGTGAACACACACACTAGGGGGCAGTGAGCACACTTGCCCGGAGCGGTGGGCAGCCCTAGTGTCTCATTGTTGAAGTCCAGGCACAGCCAGTATTAAACAACAAAAAATAAAAAGAGCACCGCGCATCTTACTGCCTTTTTTTTCCCACCTTAAATGATCAATCGACAGTGCTAAGGCTCTCCTTTAATAATCATACATTTTCACCGCTGATGCTGTCATAATGGCAATGTTTCCATCACTGCATGTCGCCGTACTGCTATCGAGTACGGAACATTTTTTCAGTGCTAACATGTAAACGCAGTATTAGGCTTTAAGTGAAAGTAATTACTGAAGGATTCACTGTTAAACTTGAACATACAAAAGTAAAATTTGTTACCTAAATGTGTGTTAAAAGCTTTAAATTAGGGTTTAGCAATGACAAAAATATAATATCATGATGTTGCACATTTAAAAATGCTATCAAAATCTATGAGCAGAAATTATTTTCATTCAAAATTTTACATACCACAGTGAACTAAATCGAAATAACCAGGACTAATTATGCTCTCTTTGTAATGAATCATGCAGTTGGTCAGTGTTCTAGACGTACTGATGATGTCCAAGCTACTGTACTGATGATGAAAAGCATATTGTGACATACTGTTTGATAATTTATAATGATAAATATTATCATATATCCAAGCTCTACTTTAAACATCTGTATGTAGGCTAGAGGTCTGTAGCATTAAAACTTTAGCTTGATGCTAATGTAACATGGAAAAGGCCATTAGGGTGCTAGTAGAAAATTAGCAGATCAAACACTATTTATAAAGTACTGCAAAACAAATGTATTGTACATATTGTATGTGTATAAACACCTGCACAGCACTGCTGTTTAAGAAATGACATTGAGAATGTAGTTTGTTTATCTTTAAACATTTTATACAATAGTGTGGTAACACTGTGAACTGTGTTATCAGAGTTGTCATGATGTAAAATGTTTATATCGGCACATGCCTACAACGCTGATTCACCACTGCAATGCTTTTTAGTCCAGGCTGAGGCCACAAATGTGATCAAGTGTTGATAATCTAATCCAAAGCTTTGCTGTTGATGATTTAGATGTCTAACTGATGTTTAACCACTTACTGCCATAACCTTCATCTTAATCTGTGCTCACCACAATCTTAAGAGGAAGTCCATTTTTCAAAAATTGTGTGTAATTCAGTCTTTAAAATGTCATTCAGAGTGGTTTGGTGTGAAATGCTCAGTTCTAGAGAAACTTGCCAAGTCAGAATTGCTCACAGTGGTGGTGATAGGAACCAGACATCTAGACAACCAGCTGTAAAAGCTTCCTCACAGAAAATGATTACATGAAATTGTTACGCCTGATGTCTGAGACAGTAGCCACGTTTACATGCATCTTAATAATCCGTTAATAATCCGACTAATAGCTCAATCGGAATAGAATACGTCCATGTATACACCTCAATCAGAATAGGTTAGTCTTAATGAGGCCATTCGGAATACAATTTCTATCCAGTGATCGAGGTGGGTAATCCTGTAAATAATCTATTAAATAGAAGAATAATATCTGTGTAAATGCCTGTATCTGATTACATTCCCTATTGGAAAGTTTAAGTCCGGTCTGATCATGTTCGTCACGTCATAGTGAAAGTTTATAACGTTCAACATGGCGGGAGCAGAAACTGGTCTGCAGAGGAGACGAAGTTTATGCTCTGATCTTTAAAAGACGGCGGTGGGACGGACGTCCAGCTTATGTGTCTCAGAACACGACGTCTTCCTCTCGGCCTTCTTTAATAAGGACATGTGAAGGACGTTTTCCTGACTCTGATATCATTTTAAAGTAATTTAAAACACAAGCACTGCTCACTGCTGCTCATCTCACTCTGACTGAACTCACGTGATGCTCGTTGTCATGGTAACGTCTACATTAAGTGTTACTCTGCGCATGCGTGTAATTTTCGATCAGATTACTTGTTGTGAGCATGTAAACAGAGATTTTCCATCCGATTGTTGAGTAGAGTGAGCATAAACACCTCAGTCTTAATCTATACTCAGAATGTATTCAATCAGATTGGCCAAAATCTTTGCATGTAAACACAGCCAGTGTATTATCATAGTTTTGAGTTAAGATTTTAACCGAAAACAGAAGTTTTCAAAAATTCATTCATGGTGGAGAGGTACATGCAGGGCATTGTGAGGCAAAACAGTCCCCAGTGTCTAAAAACCCTTCTTTTTTCAGAATGCTCACTATTTTATGATTATCAACATTACCTCTATAACCTGAGAAGTGCAGGTTCACTGGTTGTTTAGGGTCGTAAATTAGATTGTTATACTTGGGTTGAAGACATCACAACCCCTGGGTCCTGTCACCACCACTGTAGAGAAATCTGGGTCTCTGCAATAAACTATTTCACATCTAACCACTCTGAATGACTTAATGGTTGAATTATGTTGAACATTTGGAAAAATCTGTGAAATTGTTCTTTAATGTCAACATTAATATGTATATTTAATTCCTCGGATGGTTTGCTAACATCCTGAACATCTGTAGACCATCTACAGAAGCATCCAAATGAAGTGGGATGTAGTTTGCGCGGCCAGAAGGATCTAAGATCCTGGCGAGTGAGGTGAAAGTAGGACCAAAAAGTGAACGTTGTCTGCAGCTCCGGAAACACTGCCCTGGGAACTAACGTGAATGTTACTTGTGAACTGACTCTGTTCCTTTTACGGTATGTCTAATTTACAGCATGTGAATGTACTTCATACCCATGATGCCATAACGTGCAAATCTGTTTCGAGAGGCTTCCCCGGTACTAGAGGAGAGCCCGGTCTTTAAAGTGCTTTTTACACGTCCAGGGCTTCGTACAATAAACCATTAATGATAAGTGTTCAGCTGGCAGATGGAGAGGAAGGTGATGTCTTTTGCCAAACTGTATTCAACAGCATCATGTACGCATACAATCATATCCTGTTGTTTTGTGCTTTAATGTAACATTTAAGACTTTTTTGTTGAGTAATTATAGACAACATTGTTAGACAAGGGAAGCATTAAAGCAGTATTGCAGTGTTTTTCAGCCTAACCTCTGTGTTCATCAGTTACCACAGACAACAATATCAACACGTTTCTCTGTATTTAGTAAAAGTTGACATGAAACCCACACACATGGAGCCCCTAATCCTGTATAAATAAAAATAATACATGGCTACATCTTAACATGTGGGAACGAGATCCTAATGCGAAGCCACGACTTAGTAAGGCGCGGGAACAAGCTATTTGAGTTTTGACCAAGACTTAGTAAGCCGTCGGAATGAGATCATGCCTTATTAAGCTGTGGCCAAGGCAAATCTTCTCATTCCAACGCCTTAGTATGTCATGGCCATGAATAATTATCTTGTTCCCATGCCTTACTAAGTCATGACCATGCATTATTTTTATTTATGGGGATGTCGCCAGCAGGGCTGTGTACACGCAAGCCATTAGGCATTTGCTGAATTCACTAAGCACTTTCAGTACTGTGCAAATGCCAGAGACCACCCTGTTTATTTCATTTTCAGTCAAAACAGCCATTATTCATTTTTCTGCATCAGTAAAAAAGAAAACATATTTAAAGGGGGATTAATTACACAGAAACCTCAATAACTAAATATAATGTCCATTTGTTTTGAGTATTTAATGTACTTCTCTTCAACTTTGCCATTCTTTTCAGCAGATTTTCAGTTTTTAAAACCAGAAGTCTTTTTTTTCACACCTCCAAAGTTCAGTCTTAGAAGTTGGTTGCATTTTCTGCTTCTCTATTACAAATTCAGACTTTAGAAAACCTTATTCAACATCTCAGATGTCCAGTTTTGGTGGTCTTCTTCACAGCTACACATTTTGACACCCACACTCTTAAAAATAATGGTTCTTCAAGGGTTCTTTAGTAAAGAAAATGGTTCTAAATAGAACCATGAACACTAAAAGAATCCTTAACATGATGAAAGTTTTTGTATTGTGAAAGGGTTCTTCAGAATGTGCTGTAGAAGGTTATATCTGAAAAGGGTTCTTCTATTTATACAAGCTTGACATTCTAACAAAAGCAGAACCCTTTTTGGTGCTATATGGAACCCTTTTCAGAAAGGTTCTATATTGAACCATGTACAGCACATTCTCCATCAATCTGAAGAACTCTTACACGATGCAAAGAATCCTTTAATCAGGCAAAGGATTCTTTGAGTGTTAAGGTTCTATATATAACGACTTTCTTTACTAAAGAACCCTTGAAGAACCATCTTTGTATTGTACTGTTACTAATCCAAATCTAGAACTGCTCGTACCCTGATTGAGTACCTGTATCTGTTTCTCACCACATAACACACAAATCTAGTGTTAACAAACAACACAAACAAGAAAAGCAACAATGGAGGAACTTCAGGTTTTGGCTTTTCTCTGCATTTGGTTTTATCTTTTTTGCGGCTGGTGTTTTTTTTAGAATTGGTGCGTCTGATTCGAGTAACGATACGTGAGAACAATCAATGATGCACTTTTTTTGCCGTTTTCCCCAATTTTCTCCCCAGTTTTATTCATGTTCAGTTCCCCTCTGCTAGCAATGTTTCCCCCAATCACACAATAGTACCAGCGCTACACTCTTAAAATGATGGTTCTTTAAGGGTTCTTTGGTAAAGAAAATGGTTTAATATGGAACCATGAACACTCAAAAACCCATTGCGTGATTAAAGGCTTTGCATCATTAAAGCGTTCTTCAGATTGATGGAGAATGTGCTGTAGATGGTTCTATATAGAACCTTTTTTTAAAGCACCAAAAAGGATTCTTCTTTTGTTGCAATGTCAAGCCTGTAACAATAGAAGAACCCTTTTTGGTGCTATATAGAACCCTAATATAACCAATATACCATATAAAACCAAGTAATCATATAAAACTTATTCTTCATCAATCTGAAGAACCTTTAACGATGACAAGAACCCTTTAATCACACAAAAGGTTCTTTGAGTGTTCATGGTAGAAGCATTTTCTTTACTAAAGAACCCTTGAAGAACCATCATTTTTCAGTGTGCATAGCGCTGAGTCGTCTTCTCACAGTGGAAGGATGGACAGAAACACCTGTGGGATGTTTTCAGATCTGAACCAGCTTGATTTTCTCCTCTCTCACAGAGATGAAAGCTTTTAGTGCTGTTTACCTGATGGGGGCAGTTTTGGGGTCTACCAGGTCTTGAATGGTTGTTAAGAGGCCTATTTTCTATAGATCCTTTAGCAATTTTTTGACTTAAAACTCATGTTTTTTTCAATTTGTGGAATACTTTCATGAACTGTTCACTTAAAGTGTGTTTGTTGATACAAGAAAACCTTGAACATTTTAACTGTGCTGCTCCAGCGTCTAAAGAAAAACAGCTTTGGTAAGATATTCTCTCATGTCTGCCTCATCCTAATACCCATGTGTCAAACACAAGGCCTGTGGGCCAGATCAGGCCCTCGACACAATCCTATCTCGACCTAATCCTATCTCCTGTCTATTAATTTTCTATTGATATTAGCCTGTTTCACAATGTGCTGCACTACAGTCCCCAGCATGCACTGCAACGTAATGTGCTCTGACTATCCTACCCCAACAATCTATAAGACAGCGCTTACACCTCAATTCAACACAATTCCACACCAGTCATATCACCAAACACACCAGCTGCATTTCAGCTGCATTTCAACCACTATAAACACCAAATGTCAACTCAGCAGCTCAGAAATTGAGCCCAAGTCTTAATGAACTTGCAGCAAAGAAAACATGCCAGGTGTCTAGTTCAAGCAAATAGGCAGGTTTAAAAGGCTGAGCTCCTGGGGGCATTTAAATGTCGAATATTTCAAGTGTTCATGTTCAGTATTCATGTAATATTTCAAGGTCTACTACAAGTGCCTGTACGTTACTGTTGAACTTTTTGCGTATTTTGAATAAACTATGGTCAGTTTGGTTTATAGCAAAATGTTAATTAAAATGAAAAACACAGTTGTGTTCTGGCACACAGATTTGTTGAGATTTTTAATATGGCCCTTTAAGTGGTTGAGTTTAACACCTGTATTTTAACACTGTTATGGTTGTAGTTTTGGCTATGGATTAATAAGCCTCGTATTTCAGCAGTTTTTTTTCACACAAGCTTTTTCAGCATTTGCCCAATGACTTCTATTATAAGTGAGTTTCAAGCCAACCTTTTTTTTTTATTGTTGCTCTTATTCTCCAAGGTATATTTTGGTTTTTCCATCTGAATTTACATGACCAAATCG